TAGAATTTTATTTTAGGGGATAATTAAACATTTTGAAAACCACATCATATTCGTGCATTTAGTTAAAGGTACTGCCTTAGGGCAGGCGTTGTGGGGTGCTAACACCTTCCCCACACGTAACCGACTCCCGAACCCAATCTTTGGTTTTCGTGGACCGTGCTTTATCGTTTTGAGGTTTTTCCGTAGTTTTCCATAATAAACTATGGTGGCGACTCCAAATCTCTTTTTAAAACCCGTTTCTTTTTGGATCGTCGTCCCGTCGCGATTCCGGTTGCGACAACATGTTTATCTATTATAATTAAAACTGGTAAGCAGCAAACTTCGGATAAAATTTACTATGGATTAGTGTTTTTCTTTTTAAAAATACAATATCTATTCAATTTACATATACGTGATGCATAAAATAAACTACAAATTATATGGTGTATACTATGATATATAGACCAAACGGTAATCATCAAAGACTGATCGATCGATCTACTGTAGTAGCGCTTGTCAACCAGGTCAAACTGGGACAATGCTCATCAACTATGTATTATACCTAGTAGAGATCAAATGATCATACACTCAGCATCGTTCGGTCACCACTATGGCCAACCAGGACAAACGGTTCTATTAAAGCTAAGCCACAATTCGGCCAGTGCTTATATTATTATTCGGCCCGATGTCCAACGGACGATAAAATAATCAAAGATATCTGATTAAAGATCTTGATAGGTGGTTTATGAGCAACCAATCGGATTTTAAGGTAAGTTTGTTTATATTTTATTGGACCTCTGTCATTTTAATGCATTTGGCGTAGCACCCCCTTAAATGTTTGAGACACCACTCTCACTCCAACAGTGTTCGTCATCTCCAATTAAATACCTATTATGATCCGTGGACAGAGCGGTCTTTCCAGTACCTAATATGAACAAATTGCAGAGAAAAGGTCCATTAATTAGTGCTGCAAAATGGAAGAGGATAATCCATTTCTGGTATACGAAAGTTCTGTGTAACAAGACTGGTAAATTTCTGGTTCTAACACTTATTTGATGATCCAACAGAGTTATACCTGAGAGTCCAAAAAAGAGAGCAACATCCCCAACTTTTCCCATGTTGCAGCCAGAGTGCAGGGATAGGATTTGGCGCTTAGGCATGAGATAGTGCATGACACTAAAGAGACCCTTCTTCATTTCCCATGCATACTGTGTCCCAAGGATGACCATTTCCTTCCTTGCAAGATTAAGATCAATGCTAGTGGAGGATGTCATGCAGCGAGTTGTAACGATTGCAAGGAAAATTCCTAGCATTGGTATATAGTGTATTGGCATCTCGAGCTGCATCTCGTTGGCATTTGAATAGTTAACAAAATTCTAAAAAACACCCTTCCTTGCTGAACAACATCAGTTTTCTCTGTGCCCTTTAGTGAGTAATGCATAACTCTAAAAACATAGAAATGTCAATCCATGGTTAACACTTGGACAAGATACGTTAGAGGTTTCTGGAACAAAAAATTCTGATTAGATTAAATAAAAATTCATCTGGGTTATTAAAAGTTTTGCATTAACAAAAAAAGAATGAGATGATAACAAAAGTGGTGATTTGTAATCAACAATATTACCTAGGGCTAGTATCATAAGACCAGCAAGCAAATTAGACTATGCATTAGATTCTGGATTGCTCAACGAGGTGATTTTTCCAGTCCAAAGTCCCCCAGGTGTATTCTGGGCCACATATAAACTTGGAGCCTAATGACCCTAAGTTTAGAGCAAGAAAACAAACAGAAATTAATTTTAGACAAAAAAATGTTGTTGAAAACAGTGAACAAAAAAACTAGTTTGTGTTTGCCCAATAATAACTCATTGAGGAAGCTAGATCATCATATGTTCAAACATTTAGCCAAGACCAAAGTTCCCTGCATCCCCAATTTTTAGCATGCGGATAGTATACAAAACACACCCAAAAATCCCATTGAATAGGGAGATGATAAAAAGAGGCAAGCGTGAGGATAAAATGAGTAAGCTATTTACACTAGGACGTGATATCTTAGCAAAGGTAACCTTCGCCAATTCCCACCAACATCTGTTGAAACCATGATCTCTTCTCCTTTCATCAAACCTTATCTCTCATCTCCTCCTCGAACCTAATCTCTTGTTCCTTTCCCAATTTCCTTGGTTTCCAGAAACTCCAATCTTTCTCTCCAAATCCCTAACCATAACCCCCCTCTGCCTTCACCTTCTTCAAAGCTGTCAGTTCCTTATCCAGAGACTCAACCAACGACTCCTTCACCCCTAAATCCTTCCTCAATTCAGAAGCATCCGCCCTCGCCTCCTCTAACGTAGTCATCTCCAATATCAAATCGTGCCGTAACCTCGCCAAGTCCGTCTTCAGGTCCATTGCCCTCCCCGCGATAACCTCGGCCGCAACAACATCCTTCAAATCAACGTTTAATCGGTGGAAAGGGATTATAATCGGTAGAATGTGATTATAATCGGTAGAAAATGTGGAAAATGATGTTTCAATTGGTGGAATCAAAGGTAAAGGCGAAAAAGATGAAGGTATGTGAGAAACCCTAGCAGTAGATGTGGTTGGATGATGAGTGAAGCGAAAATGCAGATCTGTGAAGAGAAATGGAGACTTACGGCTTAAGAACTCTCTCAAGAGAGAGTGAGAAGCTTCTGATGCTCGCCAGGGTGAAATGAGTGAATCTGTGGAAATGAGAGTGTTTCTCGCGAGAGAAGAAATGCTGAATGAAGATGTGAAGATCGGCCCGTGGATGGAGTCAAGACCCTACTAAAGTGTGGTGTTAGGTTGATGAGGATTGGCGTCGAGAAAGAAGGAATAAGTCATTAGGTTTTCATAGGTGAAATGAAGAGATATTATGAACAATTTTTGAACATCAGGCATAATATATTACCAAACTCATATATTATAACATAGGTTTATAACTTCGTTATAATATATTTTTAATTTATTTACAAATTTACCATCGTGTTTTATATTATGACTTGATATTTATAATTTTGTTATAATAAGTTTTGAAATTATTTACAAGTTTGTCACCGTGTTTTATATTATAATTAATTTTCATAACTCCGTTATAATATGTTTTGAAATTATTTACAAATTTGTCACCGCATTCCATATTATGACTGATTTCATAACTACGTTATAATATGTCTTGTTATAAAATATTATTTTTCCACTAGTGAAGATTGGTGACAACAGGTTGATGGTGATGGAATTAGGGTTTCTATATAGAAAGGAAAGCTAACGTGGCAGATGAAAGAGTGTAGGGAGATTTAAGATTTTTAAAAAGGTAAATAAAATTAAATTAGCCTAGAGTATTTTTGGTGTGAAGATGTAGGGAACAGTGGTGAGGGAACAACTCTCATCGGTAAATGGCTTATTGGATTGGCTTCATTGAGAGATAGTCTTCATGGATCTTGGACTGTTTCTTTCTGCATCTCCATGTTCTTTCTGCACCCATATAAATTCATGAACTCCAAAATATACCTCATTAAAAATTATAATAAAAGAATAAAAAGTATCTCCACACTTCCAACTTTTAATGCATTTTAAATTGTGTAATGTGAAATATATTAAAAAAATACATTATGAATCATATCATCTTAAAGATATTTTCAAGTCCGAAAATATCTTTTGGACTGCATGTTTAAGAAATTATTTAAAAAAAAAACGACATTTAAAATACATATTTCGTAAGATATTTCTAGATTGGAAAATACTTTCAGAATTATATATTTCGACAATTTTAATACATTTCACATTATGTAATTTTGAAGGTTATTTTAGATTTAAAAATACCTTCAGGATTACACAATTTGGAAATACCTTTTAGATTGGTGAATTCATAACCTTTTTTGTTGTGATTTTTAATTCCTTCGTTTGTAGATGTGTTTTTTTAATTTCTTCTTCCTCTTATCTGCTCATTGCTTCTTTTTCGTTTTCTTTTTCTTTTCTTTCTCAGCTCATGATTAATACAGTGTGCAGCTGTAATTTTGTCTTTTTATGAAGTGGGTGGTGTAGAAGAAATCTTTGTTTTTTAGTGTTAATGGCATATATTGACTAATTAAAATTTATATGTTTAGTCATTATTATTAATACAACAAAAAAAATATATGAATCATTAGCATTATGATTCAGAATAGCTAAAAAATTAAATTTGTTGTGCTTTCATATTTATAAGTACCTTCTCTTTTATCATTTTAAAAATATTTATTTATTTATTTATTCTTCATAACTATAACTAATTTGAAAAAATTTAAACACTAAAAAATAAATTATTAAAATCTAATTAAATATTAAGAGATGTAATTATTAAAAAGAAAATCTATATTGAAAATGGATTATAAAGAAACATATAATAGTTAATTTTTTCTTTTATATTCATAAAAGATTGTTATACGAAAACATTTATGAAATAAAAAATTTATAAAACTAATATTTTAATATCAAGTATTAATGAATTACCGTTTTTTCTTCATAATATAACAAAACGTGTGAAAAATGACAACAAAAATAATAAATTTGTATATACCTTTTTCAGAAATTAAAAATAACCTGAAAAATAAAGATAAACAGCAAAAAAAAGAAAATAAAAAATATATTAGTAATTTTTTTATTATTTATTATATTTAATTTTATGTTTTACTATTTATTAATATTAAATGACGTGTTTTATAAAAAAATCAAAAATCATCTAATATAATTTTCATAAATTATCAACTTATAGTTAAGATGTCTTCATGCATGTGTCCTTTAAAGACACAATGTGTTAGGAGCTCAATTGGCACCTAAAAAGGTAATAAACATTTTTGCAAGACATAATGATAAGGTTAAGTTTTCTACAGAAGTTACTAAATGAACAATAACTGTTTTTTTTGGATAGAAATGTATTCAAGATATAAATGTTTTAAAAACTTTTTATTAAAATTATAAATTTTTTTCAACTAGAAAATTAAAAAAAAAATTCTCTTCAATCATTATTAGAAAATAAATTTAGTATAGAGAAAAAGTCAGTGTTAAATAATTATTTATGTTGATTTTGCATGTGAATGTGAAGTTAAAATCATGACATTAGTATTAATTTTTAAAGGATCAACCTAACTAACATAAGGTAATATTTTAATTAAAGCAGTCTACAATATACTTATTCGATACTTTTTATTTTAAAATTTGTTTAATTTTGTACTATGGCAATCGACCGACAGTCAATTAAATAGTTTAATCAGGAAAGGTAAATATCATTAGTAGCCAATTAATACGTTTAATGGTCATATTAAATGCGAATATACGTTATTTATGAGTGATTGACATGTTATATTGCACAAGAATATGATATTAATAGACAATTAACAGGTATATTAGCAAGTATTATTGGATTTATTGCAATAGCAATAATGAATTAATGAGCTTGATTGTCATAAGCGCTATAAATATAGGGTTAAGGCCCAGGTAAAAAGCTTCTTTTCTATCCTAATAAAATATAGACCTCTTAATGAAACATATCTGACTTGAGCGTCGGAGTGTCTTCTACAGGTCAACAACTCATCAAAGTGGATTGCATTCTCGGAGAGGATTGAAGATCAAAAGAGAGCAGAGTAAGGAAGAACGACCGACCCTCGGACCAATTCAACCGATCAATCTAAACTGGAAACGTACAAGCAAAGCACACAAATCGAAGGTTAGTGTCTCGGTCTCACAAACCCCACCGAAACATTTTTGCGCCTATCGTGGGGCAGAGAGCAAGCTGAAGACACCCAATGGTGACCACAAGAAATATGGAAGAGCAGAGCACCAGAGATTTAATCAAAGAATTACAAGCCCAGATTGAGGCACAGGCGCATACCATACAAGCGCAGGTGCATGCACAGCAAGAGATGTAGCGGAGGCATGCAGAGGAGATGGCGACACTAAGGGCCGAACGGGTTCCTCCCGAGCGGTCTGCCTCAAATCGGGAGAATGACGACGAAGCAAGCCATAATCACGCCAACCCGAACGGTCGAGGTAGAAGGGAACCAACACCCCTACAGACCGTTCGGCCTAGCAGTTTATCATTACTTCCCTTTACGGAGACCATCATGCAAACTCCAATGCTAGAAAAAAACTTCGCCCGCATTGGATAAGTATGATGGTTCAGCTGATCCAGACGATCACCTAAGGACGTTCGCTAATGCAATGACATTCTATACAAACAACGACCCGATCATATGCAGAGCGTTCTCATTATCACTCAAGGAAGAGGCATTGGAATGGTACAACACTCTTCCTCTCAGCACAGTGGATTGCTTCGCCATTGTGGAAACCCTCTTTAGAAGGCAATACGCCTCTAATCGGAA